AAGTGGGAGGGTCCTACGGTTTGTAGTTGACGAGCTGAGAGTTATTAATGCCTGCGTTCAAGCCTCAATGAGAGATACATCGTACAAAGTACAGGTAGGTACTTCAGCATTCGTTTTAGAGCTTGCCTTTCAATAAGAAATATTTTTTATTAACTGAAAAAAACATTTACAAGGTTAAATTAATTGGTTTGTAATTGAAACTTAGCAGGATAAAGAAGGGTTTAGTATCTTGGGTTTTGAAATGTATACTGGAGCTGTTTTTCGTTCGTTATGAAAAGGGGGGGGCAACATTAATACTGAATACTGCTTATGAAGTCTGCTGTTGTTCAATATACAACCAAATTAATATATAACAAAGGTTGAATATATTTTACAGGTATAGGCCTATACATTCTAAGGTGTTATATTAATAACACTTTATTAAAAATTGTATCCATACTCCATAGATATTTTTGGATGCTGAAGACGGAATTGTGAAGGATGCAACATGTCAGTGCCCAATGGGACAATACAAATGCCACCATGTTGCTGCGGCATTGCTCTTTGGGTATGAAGAATAATTTTTAAGAAAATCATCTGAGGTCTTTTGCACTGAAGGATTTGAAATGTGAAAGCTTAAATATTTTGTCCATATTTCATTGATTTATCATTGTAATTTGTACCCAGATGATTTTAGGAGATAAAACCACAGGCACTTGTTTCTATAATAATTTTTTTATCTTATAGTATTATAATAACACAAGGTATCCAACTCTTATTTACACGGAGTAACCCCTCCCTCAGAGACACACCTTTTATCTCCATAAACAATGTCAAAGATCTGCTCGCCGAGTGGAAAAGTCGAATTCAACCGTGAAATGATGTATACTGATAATGGGCAGAGGTTTTGATTGGCTAAAAATCTGTTTCTAAAATTACATCGGAGTAATCATTTAATATGTCGAAGTAATGTTATGAAATATGAGAGGTAAACAAATTTTATTCATTAACTATATTATTTAGACACTTGAATTGAATTTTCATACCAACATTTTTTTTTTCATTTCGCTCTCTGTCCAGGATTAGCACATACCATTTCATAGTTGAATTCGACTTTTCCACTCCAAAAATTCTATTTTCTGCCATTGAGCCATATGGTAAATATAATTATAAACTGGACAAGATTTGATAGTAGAAGTGTCAGTGTAATTGATAAAAAAGCTGAATGTCTGATTTTATGGAAACAGCTTTTTTTCTGGAAAGATGGAGTTGCTTAGCCTCGCTGGGAATCAGGGTTCAATGAAAAAAAAAAATGTACAAACAGTACAATGTACATATGAACTAAACTTTTTGATTTTTAAAATTCAAGTAAGCGTGTGCAAAATAAGAAGTAGCTTTTGAAGACATTTTATATTTCAATTACAGCTATAAAAGAGCAAGTAAAACAGACATAAAATGTTCTTGGCTGAAACATCCAAAGTCGGCACCACCAAAATCCACTGTTACGATAGCTGAGCTGTATCCCCCAAAGCAGTAGGATTACAAGTATGTGTTAATAAGCAATGTCCTTAAGAATTCTTTAATATAAACATCAGGGTATGTGAAACTTGAAAAATTCTGTCAGTCATTTTTGACCTGCAACTTTCACAGGTTAGCATTATATTAGTTGGACTCCATTTGACGATGTATGTAGTGCACAGCAATTAAATCAGTGGATGTTAAATATTATATAGAAGTTAGGCAAAAATATTATGAAACATGCTTAAATGTAAGGGTTTGTCAGTCTTAAATTTTCCTTTATTTATTTTTTTGAAAATTCAAGTTCAATTGGCACTATAAGTTGTTAGATCATATGTAAATCAAAACTCATAAAAACAAAAAAGGTTTTAATTAAAATCAAAAAAGTTAAAAAAAAACAAAAACGACCCCCCCCCAATATTAAATGACTATATTTTTAAAATAAAATATCCCCCTCCCCTTATCTACATGATCTACAGGTACAAAATTCCCATAAAGAGGGATATGGAGTAAATTCAGATCAAGAAACATGACCATCTTATACTGAAGTTATGCATGACATCTACAATTTTTTGTTGGTAAACGAGACAAAACTGACAAGTTTTGCAAACTCTGAAATATCACATAGTACATTAATCTAATAGGAAAATGTTTTTTGAAATACTCAAATTATGTAGAGCACTGACAAGAAAAGTAACGGACAATGACAGATCATTTTTGTATCATCAGCTGGGACAGTTGGGGCGCTTCACAGGTTGCTGTTCTTTGGAGTTTATTTTTCAGTTTTGAGGAGTTCATTTTTCAGTTCAGCCTTGTTTACATGTTGATGTTGAAAGTGTGCTTGATTTTTTTGTCTTCATTGTTATACTGAATCCTGTTGATGTGGATGTACTATTTATTAAGGATATAACTAGGTTTTATAGTCTTTTACCTAACATTACCTTTACAAGTTAGTGTATATCAAATAAGAGATTACAAAAATCTTGAAAACACAAAGTATATATATATTCCGGTACTATGCTATACTAATTTAGCAAAATATGTTGTAGCTTTACACTGGATTCTCTCAGAGGAGCCCAAGACGCCTGGCAGTCCAGTACCATTGATTGAAGATTTGCTTATGAGCGAGGCGTACATCAGTGCTGATGATCTTAAAACATGGCTTCGAAAACACCTTATTATCTCTCCAGAAAAGATTATGGAGGCGGCATTTATGACAGCTGGCCAGCGTGAAAACTCTCTGTGGGCTGCTATTAGAAAATATAGATTTACAGCTTCAAATTTTGGCCTAATTATTGGAGCAGCAAGACGAAACAGGTATCTTTAAATTCTATGTTTATACAAATATTTTCATATGGTTACTACAATATATCTTAAATTCTATTTTACTTAAAATTCAAATTCCTAGTTGCAAGTTTTAGCAACTACATAAATAAATATCTGATGCCAGTAAGGTTTATACAATATTGATGATTTTTTTTCTCACTAAGAACATACGAATTAATTTTGAAATACCCGATTTGTAATATTCTTTTATAGATTGTCGGAGTCACTTAAAAAGAGAATTTTAAGTGCTTACAACTTGGAAAGAAGGGCTCCTATTCAGTGGGGTATCACTCACGAGAAAGTTGGTTTGGAAGAATACTGCAAAGCAGGTTCAGTCACAGTTTTGCCAACAGGCAAGTAGTTAAATTGTGGGTGCATTAACATCAAGAGTGTATGAAAGTTAAGAAATAACAAACGCATAAAGTGCATAAACAAATCTTTAGTACACAACCTTCCTTATTTCATTTAGATGCATGCATTTATATGTACAATGTATTTTACCAGCTACATATATACCTTTATATCATAATGTTAGTGCTTGTCTTTTATATTATAAGAGTAGATTAGACATGAAATCAGAATTATTTTACTGTACACAATCAACTCTGTTGAGCTTTAATGTAAATTAATTCCTAAGTCATGTAAGCAGCTTAAATCGACAGATGTTTACATCATCACTTAATGAAGGTATACATTTATGTACATGCTTGTACTTTTGTATTTCAGGTATATGGCTGCATGAATCAGGAGTCTTAGGGGCATCACCTGATGGCTTCGTTCAGGGAGATTTTCCTAAAACTAACATTGTCCACCTTCAGCAGAAGGACCAGCCATCAAAAGTGCCTGCTATCGTAGAGGTGAAATGTCCCTTTACAGCCAAGGACAAGACCATTATGGAGGCATGCTCAGATATTAAGGATTTTTTCCTAGGTATTGCAGAGCAGATACATATCTTAACAAATAATATTTACATTTGCAAATGTTTTCCTTTATATAACACTACTGAAAGCAAGCGTTTTTATAACTGTATAAATACAGGTACGGGGTCAAGAGGTCATAGATATTCGTATGGATAAATGTTCGACGTAATTTCTCAGTGACGTCATAAAGGGTCGACGCGCGTTCAGTGGATTACAAACATGCCGTTGGATTTGAAAAATAATGCATTTCACACGTTAAAAGTCACAATCAGGCAAATTTAAAGTATGAATAAGTCACAAATGTAAATATAAGCAATAAGGTATCATTTTTTTAGTTTTATTGGGATGTAAAATGGGTTGGCGCATGATCAAATCTTCCGGGCTTTATGGGATTTGATCACGTGACCAACCCGTTTTACATCCCAATAAAACTCGAAAAATGATACCTTATTTCTTAATTATTAGATGCCTTCCTATTGCTCCTTTTAATATCGTGTGTTATAAAATTATGGAAGTAGCAATAAAAGTCTAGTCACTATGGTAGAACTCATTTAGTAGTTCAAACACTATCAAAAGAGGATTTATTACATTTTAAGGAGAATCTACAACAGAATAACTTTTACTTAATTTTTTCAGTTGATAATGGTGGAAGCTTATCATTAAAGACCACACATGATTACTGGCATCAAATCCAGGGCCAGCTCTACCTTACTGGGACAGAGTGTTGTGATCTGGCTGTGTGGACCACTAAAGACCTGCAGATTGTTAGAATTTTTAAGGACAGGACATGGGCCCCCAACATATATGCCATGCTTGATTTTTATTTTATGGTGTTTTTGGAATCACTAAAGTGAATCAGGTTAGTAACATTGGTAATATTCTAAGATCATGGGATAGACAAAATCCAAAAAGTTGAACTCTATTTGTGAAATTCCATTTTCTAAATGTTTTGATATGAAATACATCAATACCCTATAATCTGACATGAAAGTTTTGGAGGAAGTTCTCTTTTAAATCTTTGCATTAAAATTTTTTCAACAGGTTTTTAGGAAGAATGCAAAAAAAAAAAACAAAGTGGCTTTAAAGGACAACTGAATGATAAATGATGTTATTTGTTTTCGCAATTATACTGTAAATCCTGTATGAAAATTTTTACAAACTGAAGTAAATTCAGTTCTCTTTCCTATTAATTTTCTTTTTGAATTGTGAAATAATACTGACTGTGAAATTCATTTCTGGTATCTTTTAATAGCATATCTAAATTTCATATTTGTCAGCAATTTCCTTAAAAAGAGGTGCTTGAAGGTTTATGAAACAACAACATAGCTGAAAAATTTTGGTCGAAATGTGTCGATATTGAGCAGGAATGTGATTTAGAATATCATAGTTTTTGATGCGTTCATTTGCTCTCTCAACATGAATCCTGGCTTTCCCTATTTTGTAGCACAGTGCAGCCTCCTCCTTTGTGAAGTGTGCCTTCTGTGACAGGAATGGTGGAATGTTTAAGGAAACACCAGAAGGAAGCTTGTCAAAAATGTTAAAACCCTTATCTGCTAATATGAGGTCTCCTGGTTGAAGCTGATTCAACACTCCACAGTGATCTACAATGGCTGCATCCGAAGTAGACCCAGGATACAAGTCCGAAGAGTATACTAGTGCACCATTTGGTGAAACGCATGTGACTGCCTTGACAGTGTGTCTGCTCTTATAATTACTGTAAGAGAGGGACTGTGAATTCATGTCTGAAGGAACATCTTGCAAAATTTCTGTAGCATCCATAGCTATACGAGCAGATGCAAACTCTTCAAATGACTTAGGCATTGACCCTTTACACTTAAGCTGACTAGGAATACCTACTTCATTCAGAATTCCATCAACGAAAATTTCGTGCAAAACTGAAACGTAAGTGTTAAAAATGTTCGAAATAGTGGCCCTGCTTGTTACAAATCTAACTGATAAATCCAGATCACGGCAATTTAGACGCAGCTTCATCAATGTAATCAGTAATTGATCCTCAATAGAGAAACAGTTCACAGTCCATCCAGCGTAGTAGTTAAATGGTGCCATTCTGTACAGCATATTTACCACAACTTGAAATACATCAGCTGGGAAGGAGGTGTAGAGCAACATCTACAACCGAATTAAGCTTGTATAGTTTATGGGACATTGTCAATATTGAATAGGGAACATGCTTTGTTGATATTCTTATCACCTGTGTACATTTTATTGTTTAAAATCTTATTTTTAAATATTTAAGACACATATTATTTAAGAAATAAGGTATCTTTTTTAAACATCTATCAGTCACAAGATCAATTCCATAAACATGATAAAACCAAATTTATGGTGACTTTGATCATGCTAACCCTTATTCGTAGCTTGATAAATGTTTTAAAATGATGCAATATAACTTGTTTTTACATTTGTGACTTATTCATATTTTATATTTGCCTGATTATAACTTCTAATGTGTGAAATATTTTATTTTAAAATCAACGGCACATATGTAATCCATTGAATGCGCTTTGACCCTTTATGACGTCACTAAAAAAAATTTGTCAAAGGTTTATGACATTCGAGGAACCTGTATTTATACGGTTATAGATATGCATTGCTTTCAGTAGTCATAGTGTTATATAAAGGGAAAGATTTGTAAATATAGACGTCAAAACATTTCAGTTCATTATTTTACTGTATAATTATTGTAACACTAATTGCCCTTGTCTAAGTCAGTGCCACCACAACAGTTTAAATCTGAACAAGCAACAAACACTGAAAAGTTTATATTGTATTTTTTTATTTCAAATACTTTATCTATTAAATTAGTCATACAAACAAAGTTGCATGTATTTTGATATGTTCATCAACTTGATGTACACTGTAAACGTATTGACGTAATGTAGTTATATGTAACATAATACATTTGAATATGAAATTTACTTTTTTTTTAGCTATTTTGCATGGTATTTAAAGAAAAAAGAATGTATTACTATATGAAGTTTGTAAAAACACTTCAGTGTTATTTAAACTGTATTGAATAGAAAATACATTTGCTCCTTCTGTGCAACTTACCTTTTCAGTGTCATTTATGATGTCTTTTATTGACATCTTTGGCTTCTGCAATTTTAGATCCCTGATTTCTTCTTGCAAATTGGCAATCTGTTTTTCCAAGGCTGACACTGTAATGTGTAATTCATTTTGTTCAATCACATTATTATTTATTAATAAATATTTTCAGGGGATAATTTGAATCGGATGCATTTTAAAATCTTTTCTGAATGTTCATGTACAAATATTTTGGTATGGGTGAAATAAACTAAACTGAAGCTAGTAAATATTAGAGCAAGTATATTTTAAATGAGTCTAATCATAAAAATGTATATGCTGTAAAATTATTGAAATCTATCTAGTAATCAGTATATTGTCTGTTCTAGAATATTGTCCATTAAATGTTAATAAAATGAAATCCTCATCATTTTAATTGTTAATCAGTTTGAAAATGTATGCTGTGGAAGGATTCTTTGAAAGCAGTGGTGTGTGAATTAGAATGTTTTACCACACTTTTATGTAAAGAGTATTTATAAGAAGTATAAAGAGGCAAATAGATACTTAACATCACAGGGCTAATGAGGATTCAAATTTTGTAATTTTCTAGTTTTCAAAATGCAAGTCTGTCAAATATTTTGGATACCTTCTTTAGAATGATCTTTTGTGTCTGTTTGTTCGGTACTGCTGCAATAATCGTGATCTGTAACAGAATGGTGCGTCCTGACAGCAAGAGTCATGTCATTTTGTATTGGATGGGAGGAGGATGATGCTACACTATCCAACTTTTTCCTTGAAAGATATAAAATCTTAAAAAACGTATAAGAAGTCAAGGCACTTTTTTCAGTATAATTTTGTAGGACTTTTTTTGCCAGTTACCTCTTTGGAGTGTTTATTTCAGGAAAATACCCCACATTCTTGCTATATGCAAAAATTGTGGGCCCAAATTCCCTCTTTCCATCTGTGAAGTGGCAGCTGCAGAGCCTGTCATTTGAGTTGTACTCCCTGTCTGCCCGTCTGGAAAAGGATATTATGTTTAAAAAATCTTTTTAAAAAGATGTTTAGAATAAATTCTGGTGTCATATGTTTAAATATGATAAATTACTAATCAATAATAGTATTTAAAATGAGTTAATATGGTGAAAAACTTCTCTGCAGAACATTGTTATAGTGTTTTGTAAAAAGGATGATTTAATCTTTACTTATGGAAAGGTGGGGAGGGGGAGGGGGGTAAGGAACTGAACAAGCGATTTCATTGTAAATTTAATCACAATATAATATTGTCAAATAAAAGTACACAAAGCTGCTGCGATATAAATGGTGTTTTCAAACATCTGCGTCCTTAAAAGCATTGAAATACACTTGCAACTTTAGTTTGTAACAAGCATCTTCAAATGACCTCTAAATTAACACAGCGATATTATTGAGGTATTCTTTTTCTATATATTAACTCACCTGCATCTGTCAATCCATTTTTTCCGTTCTTTTGTGTCTGTTGGGAATCGGAATAAACTGCACGTCTGTTTTCCCCCTGTGCGATGCGTGCAACCGATTGCAAAACAATACACCATATTGTTACTACGAACGCTGATGTACCCGGAAGTCGTGAAACGAAAGTGAAAGCAAACGAGACTTACAGACCCTATAACAGTGTACAGAAGACTAGAAGAAAAGTACAAACTTGGAGCAGTCTGAGCCTCAGTTTTGGCGTTTTCATGAGTCTTAATTACGGTTAGTGACTGAATTTTTTACAATTTACCATTACAACAGTTTCTGAAGAATTTATAACAGAAATTAACCATGCAGGAAAATATGTAACACTTGGCAAGTGTTTTTTTTTTTTTTTTGCACATTTCAATTTAATTCTGATGGATTTATATGTTAGCATTA